GCGAGCCCCCGGCCCCAGCAGCCCCCGGATGCTCTGACGTCGGCGTGGTCGACACCCAAGGGGCACTCCGGCTGATCCTGGCTCCCAGACCTGTAGCTGGGCTGGAAAAGTGGCCACCCACATGTCCATCTGTCCATCTGGCAGGCTCTAAGCCACGGACAGGACCTTGTCACTGTTCTCTGGTTCTGTGGAGCTGGGGTGCCAGGCAGTGAGGCCCCTGCCCCAATTGGAGTGGCATCTCCAGGTCTTTCTCCATGTTGAGTCTCCAAGATGCCCAGAGGTGCCCGGCCTAACAGGGATGGGCTGCTCAGCTGGGAGAAGAGGGGTCTGGAGGAGGCCTCAGGTCCCTACTGAGCATCGTCAGTCAGGCATCTGATGTGGGGAAGCCTAGCTCAGCGTAGGGAGCGCTTTCTCCCAGTGGAGCTATGGAGCTGGAATGAGCTGCCACGGAGGAGTGAGCTCCGTTACAGCAGGTGAGCAAGCAGGGGCTGGGCACCCCGTGGGGTTGTTGCCTGAGGTGTGAGGCCTCCCAGTGATGCCTCCACATGTGCTCAGAGGGTTAGTTTCCTGACAGGAGCAATCGGGTGAGGCTGGGGCCACTTCAGCGGGAGAAATGATCGCCAGGAAGGATGCTGCCCGGATGGAGCCCACCTCCTCCTCCAGGATTCTGGTGTTCGGGGCTTGCTGGTTCTGAGAGTCTCTGAGTCCCAGTGTCCCCACTTAGAAGGTTCTGAGCTGGGACATCTGGAATCCAGGAAGCATCAGCCCTTTGATATGAAAGTTGGTGATTGTTTCATTTTGGCGTCTCTGATCCAAAGCTTCTGAGATTTGAGGCCAGGGTACTGGGCGCCCTGGGCAGCTCAGTGTCCGGCTTTGGGCTCTCAGCCCCTCCTGCTTCTTTTGTAGGACATGTGGCCACTAACCCATCTGCACAGGCCCCTCGGAGCCCAGGCTCCTCCATGTGGAGGGAGTCATTTTGGGATAAAACTGGGGCTCCATTCACCTGCCACTCAGTGAAGGTGGGAAGCCATGGAAATACAATACATAAGCTGGTGCCACTACTCCCCAGTGTCCAATTCAGGGGAGAAGGAGGAGGGCGAAGCACAGAGACCGAGAGAGAGAGAGAGAGAGAGACTGGAGAGATGGCCATTCTCTCTCACACTCAATAGTGACAGTGTCCAAAGTGGTCATTCAAGGAAGTTCCTTCCCACTTGAAATCTGGAAGCACCAGCATCTCTTAAAATTGCTTTCCTCATTTCCACAGACCAGAAACCCTTTTGGTTGTGAGAAGGGCCCAGGGCCTCCGCCTGGTGGTCTGGTGTGGCCCCTGGGATGGAGCTGGACAGGCAGGATGCAGCCAGGTCTGGGCTTTGCTTTGCCCCCACCCAGCTCTCGATGGGGGTCTCACAAAAACGGGGCACCCACTCTCACCTGCACCCCGCTTCACCTCTGTCCCCCCTTGGCCCGAAAAACGTTCTTCCACTCAAGGGACCAGATCAGGAGTCAAAAGGCCTGTTCCTCCCCCTGACCCCACCCCCCAACTGCTCGGTTGCTGTGTGACCCCCTGTGAGACTGATGCCCCCCAATGGACAATCAAGGGGTGAACAGTCTCTGAGCAGGTTCAGGCCTCCATGTCCACTGTGGCCCCTCAGCCCTCTGCCCACACTCTCCCGAAGGGCCTGCCTCCCTGGAGAGCCCTTATGCCCTGGCTGGACTGCCCAGTGCCTCTACTCTCTTGGACGTCTGTGGGAACATCCACCCCCGAGGAAAAGGCGCTGTCCACCCATTACAGGGGCACCAAGCAAGAGCCAAGAACCCTCAGCTTGGGGTGAGGGCACAGCAGAGACATGGCCACTTGCAGCCTCACCTGTGTGACTTTAGGAAAGTGGCTCAGCCTCTCTGGGCCTCTGTCATTTGACAGAGTTGGACAGAACACACTCCCGAGGCCTTTGACTTGGGGACGCTGCACTGGACTGCAGGCGAGGGAAGATGCACCCCAACCCTGACCAATGCTCCCCTTCCTCCTGGGGCTGGGGCCTCTGCCATCCCCCTTCCCCATCCACGTATGCAACGAGACCTGAGGCTCGGCGGGTGGACTCCTTGCTGTGGCCGGCCTTCTCATATGCAATATTTCTTCTGGCTTCTCATGGGGATGTTCATCCCAGACTTGACGTTTCCTGACACCCGTCCCGGTGAGCGTCCTGCCTGCCTATGCATTTTGGGAACAGTCCTTGCAACACGCCCCTCCCACCCCTAAAAGCTGTATTTTTCTCTGGCTGAGATGAGAGCATATTCCTTGTAAAGTATTTTTCTACATGGGGTTTCTTAGGGCTCTCGGGAAGCACTACAAGCCAAGGGGCTGCACTGCAAAGGCCATTTGGGGTGTTTGCACCTCGTGTCAATCTGTCTGTCCCACCAGGGACTGCAGTGACTTGGGAGTTGGGGGTGGGGTGCTGTTGGGATGATTTGCATTTTTTTAAATAAAATAATGTAAGTGCACCTGGAGTGGGCGTCTACTTTTTTTTAAATCATAGGCTGGCAAGTCAGCATCTGTTTGGGTCTTGTGACATCTCACCTGCTTTTGATTCATTATCATCCACTCAAAAAGCCTTTGTGTACGATGCATCATTCTAGCCCCCGGGGGGAAAAACAAGAACAAGAGAGATGAGATCCTGTCTGCACAGAACTTATATTCTAGCAAAAGACAGACAATTGACAAGTGAAAATATCATTTTTTTTTCAGGAATAAAAAGCAATGAAAACAAAATAGAAAGAGGGATAGTGACTGGGGTGGGGGCCTTTAGCTCAGGGGATCAGGAAGGGCTTCGATGAAGAGGTGACTTTTGTGCCAAGACCTGAAGGACATGAGTCAGCCCCGTGGAAACATGGAGGAAGCCTGCCCCAGGCAGAGGGCACAGCAGGTGCCAAGGCCCTGAGTGGGGAATGAGCTTGATGGTTCGAAGGAAGAGAAAGGAGACACGGAAGGGACTGGGGTTAGAGACCAGACTGGAGGTCGAAGAGCCCAAACATGAAGGGACCATGAGTAGGGACTATGGATTTTATTTTCTGTGCAGGAGGAGCAGGCCGCTGAGGCAAGTGATTGACGGGTCTGTTGCCTAGGTGGGGGAGGGGCCTGGAGGGCAGCCTGGGTCCCACTGGAGGAGCCACGGCTCTGTGTGGACAGAGGAAGAGCTTCTTCCCATCAGCTGTGTCAGATGGAGTAGCTCCTCCTTTCCGGGGGGATAGAAGCAGGGCTGGACCACACCGATTGCATTTGTGTGGCTGGGCTAGGAACACTGGGGGCCGCAGGGTGGCACGGGGCTCTGCTGGTCTTCCGGGAGCAGTAGCACCAGCCCTAGAGCCTGGCTGTGTTCTGAGAGCTTTGCAAGAATCCCCTGGATCTTCCCAACAGTTTGCAGAGGTGGCTCTGTTACCATGCCAACATCACAGATGCGGAAGTGAGGCACAGAGAGGTTAAGGCCACACAGGTAAGAAGGAATGGAGTCAGGATTTGCACATAGAGCCACAACACTCAGGGAGGGAGGGAGGGAGGGAGGTGCACAGCAGCCAACAGAAAGGCAGATAGCCAGAACAAAGAATTGGGGAGGGGGATATTTTATTCTAACATGGTCTATAAATCATGAAATACTGGGATTCCTTTGGTCTGGGAAGTTGGGGAAAGGACCCAGCAGGCTCCCTGACCTTCCCACTCATAAAGGGTGATGCGACCAGTGGGCTGGAAGGCTGCCCCAAACAGCGACCCGCCTGGCCTGTTCCCCACCTACAACAGTGTCGGGCTTGTGACCCCTAAGGCCGAGTACATCTGTGCCAACCACTGACCTTTTGGGGTCCCGCTGGCCTCCCCTCTGAGGTCCCAGTGTGCGGTCCCTACGTGCATACCTCCGGGACTTGCCACTTACCCACCTTCCAGCAACCCCAGCCCCACTCTTGCACTGGCAGTCACAGCCCTGATGGGATGGCATGCAGTCAGGCTTCAGTGACTGCACCTGGTGGGAGGCTGGGTGGGCAGGGAGGGCACCAACCTCAAGTTAGTGGCTCCCTCCCGACTCCCCATTGCTGGGCTTACAGCAGGATAAGCCCTGGCCAGGAAAGAAGGAAACGGAGCCAGTGCGGGTAGGTGAGGGCCTGATACATGATGAACATCACCTCTAATCACCCCTAAACCCTTACAGGGGGTGGGGGTTTGTCCCAGATGGGGAAACTGAGGCTCGGGAGACTATGGGAGATATACCAGCTGCATGGGGCTATGTGTGTAGCAGGTGAGCTTCACTCAGAAGGACCGGCAGACCCAGCCCAGGAGTTAGTGGGCCTGGGTGCGAATGACTCTTGCACAGCCTTGCCGTGTGCCCTTGAGCAAACCACGTCCCCTCTGGAAGCCTCTACCTTAGTGCCCCCAACCTTGAACACCTGTGAGGAGCACCCCGGGTGGGCCTGCAAGCCCCTCAGGACTGTGGAGCACTTGCCAAATGGAAGAAAGAACAGCCTCATCAAAATAGAACCCCACATGGTGGATTTAAAAAGGAAATGTTTATTTTCATGTTATAAGGTGATTACAAACTCCTCTAAAAAAAAAAAAGCAAAGATGGATTTAAAATATCGATATACATATGTATCTAGAAAGCAAAAGAGGAAACACCCTGCAAAATACAGGGATTCAGATCATAAAACATTTATACACAAAAGCTTGTATATCGCAAGACTGAATTACACACCAAGGGTCTTATTCAAATACAAATGTTCCTCCTCAGAAGAATCTCTTGTTGGTGGATTTTTTTCTTTACAAAAGTTTAAAATATCTTTAAAATATTTTGATGTTAAAAAAAAAAGTTCTGATGAGCCAGACATATTTCTGGAAGGAGGCAAAACCGCGTCCCCAGCTTTCTCTTGTGCTAAATACAGAGTCACAGTTGGTAAGGATTTGAAATTTAATGGGGGGTGGGGGGAATGGAGCTAACGCCTCAGTTTGAAGCCAAATGTATCACAAGACGCTTCATCCTTCGGGACCTTGTCAGAACACGTCTGCGTGACACCCACAGAGAACAATGAAGTGGCTCCCATTCCAGCAGGATGCATTCCGAGAGGGAGGGCCCGAATTCCTCTCCAGTTTTGAGATCGGGGGTTTGTTTTGTGGCTTTGTGCTTGTTGCATTTTTGCACAGTGGTATTTATAGCATCCATGTGGAAGGCCCAGCTTGGAGGCGCCCGACGGTGGGTCTGAGGTCTGGCTGGGCCCTCTAGCTGCCCAGAGGGGCTTTCTCTCGGTCCTCCCCTGGCCTGTCCATGGTGTCGGGGGACGGGAGGCACCTCTGCCTCCAGCACTGGCTGCACAGAGCACTTCACCATCCAGGGGGCAGTGTGAGATGCTGGCTGGGCCACTGGCCACGGTGAGGTGGGACCTGGTGACAGAATGCCCTGTGCGAGGCCGAGGGGGGCTGCCTTTCCCCTGATGCTTCACCACTGTCTCCGGGGCTGTGCTGGGACCGGAGGGACCAAGAGGGAAGTACGTTCCGCCCGGAAATCAGAATCCAAGGCCACGTCCTGCTGCCTGGGAGTGGCCTCCTCTGAGTCCTGCCTGGGGTCCTGCCTCTGCGCAGCGACTGGCTGCCGTGGGCCTCCGTCTCCTCATGTGCAACAGGGATCTGGACGCCTCGCTCACAGAGGGCCCCCGGGTGCAGGGCCAGGGCGACCGGGTGCACAGGCCCGAGTCACAGCGTGGGGGCCGGTTGGCCCAAGGATGGTCAGTGGGTAGAGGTGCTGCTCACCTCGTCTCCCAACACTGGATGGAGCGTTTCCTTTTTCCTAAAGGCTCGTCCGTCCTTGGTCTTCAGGGAGAACACCGAGGAGCTGCACTCGCCACGCGCACCTCAGAGGACCTGCAGCCGGAACTGACTGCGCACCGTCTGGTTCCGTCCCCCCTTGCTGGGCCAAAGTCCCTCCCCCCACCAGGCCTCCATTTCCCCATTTTATGAGAGCGTTCACTGCTCCCCCCCACCCCTACCCCCAGCCTCTCCATCACTGACTGTGTGGCCCCCTGTGGGGCTAACATGGCCCAGGCCCAGTGTGATGAGGCCTCTCCCTGGTGAGTTTATCCTGGGCCCTCACCCATTTCTGCATCCTAAATGCTCTTCAAACACCTCCCTCGCACCCCTTCCAGGTTCTGCGGGCAGCAGAACGTCTGACCCACCCGGGCCGAGAGTGGGCGCAGCACCGCCCCTTCTCCAGAGACAGGCGGACAGAGTCTGAGTGCCAAGGAGTTTCCTTTATGTGGAGACAGAGAGAAGCCGCGCGTTGTTCCACATTGTACTCATAGAGCCAAGGTCTGCGGATACACCAGAGCTAGGGGGGCAGACACGAGGGTCGCGATTGGAGACGGGTGCCCAGGGAGGTGTGAGGGGTGGGCTTGGGGAACGTGGCTGACCTTCCACCCAGCTGGCACCTGGGGACTTGGTCTGCATGTGTCTTTGGTCTGGAATTTGGTCTGGGAATCTGACAAGGAGAGGCCTTCCTCGGGCCCTTTCCAGGATGTTGCAATTTGCCTGCCACCCTGTGGCCTTTCCCTGGGGATCTGAGCCCCAGAGGGGAGATGTGTGTAGCCTGAAATGACCACAGGTGCCCAGGTAGCCACAGCGTGCCAAGCCCCCCTCGCTCCATGATCACCTGTCCCCAATCGCTGACAGTGGTTAGTTTACTAAAGTTCCATAAGACAGGAAAACAGGTCACATTGCTACTCGGTAAAATTAGGGGGGAAAAAACCAACAAAGTCCAATCAGACACAGCAGCAACCATCGACACATAGGAAAACAGGAACATGTCGGAACGGAACGGCCTGGAATAGGTGTTGTTTGGCAGAGCAGGTGCTTTGGAAACAGCGAAATGTGAAAGTTTACCAAGACAAGAGGTTCAGAGTGGCCTCTGCCCCTGGGGAGGGGGACAGCTAAGCCTCCTCGCTCTCTCGGATTGGGGGAGCGGGGTTCCAGGATTCAGAGAGCCCCTGCTCTGAATCTCCACCCTCCACCCCCCTGCTAGGCAGTCACTGCCGTTTGTGACGCTTCGGTTTAGTTTAGACTGAACTTGGAAGTGACTTTAAAATGGCACAGTTTAGGTCCAAATGGGGGCCAGGGTGGAGGTGTGTCCACACCCGGGATATTAAAGGTGAGTACCTTCCCTGCTGGTTCAGAGAGGACGCCATACTTGGTCGAGCCAGTTCTGGGGTGCCAGCCCCCCGAACAACCCCACTTCCTAGAAAACGCCCCCCCACGGCCCCCTCTCGGTCCCATGTAGTGCATTCTGACACCAAGGGACTGCGGGGGGGGGGGGGGGGGGAAATGGGGTGAAGATTTTTACGCCACCCAGGGTCTACCCAGCGTCGCACTTGTGACTAAACTGGGAGGAAGAGTGCTGAGAGCACTTTACTGGATTCAAGCATTCGCTAAAGGCCCCAGGACGCTCTTGGTACTCCCTGCGCGGAGCCCGCGTGGGCCTGGGCTGGGGTCTTAACAAGCGGTGCCAGGAGTTTCTCCCGGCCTCTGGGAGATGAGGGTGGAGAGATGAGGGGAAAGCACCCCTCCCCAACACCGGGCCACCCGAACCCTGGGCCACATCCTTTGGTCCACTCGCTCACCCCTCGTCCCTCAGCAAATACACTGACCTCAAAATAAAAGGTGGGGTTCTGTTTTTTGTTGTCAGGCCTCACCTCTCAGCTTTCAGTCAGCGCCTTTATTTGAGGGGCTGGTTCAGCATTTTGGCATCTCTCTTCCTGGTTACAAGTGTCCTGAGCCGACTCCTCACAGCCTTCCTTTCTCAGGCCCCTGTGGGCCTGGCCAGCGGGTGGGGCCCTCTCCCTGCTTCGACTTGAACCAGGTCTGGGAGGTACTACACCTTTAAAATGGGTTGGCTGTCCCAGGAAAATTCCACCCTGCGTTGTTTTATTTGGGGGGGGCTGGGGGGCAGGGAGGGGGCAGAACTTTCTGCCAGCTACACAAGCACCAAAGAATTGCTTTTGAAAACGAGATCTATTGCTGGCAAGATCAATTCAAGTGGTAAAAGTGTATGACAATCTCTAAGTGTACATATAATTATATGTAAAAAAAAAAAATACAAAGAAAAATTTACCAGTTCCCATAAAATACATCTAATTCAGTATGAAAGCTCTGCCTTGCCCCGGACTTCTGCCCATGGGTTGTTGTATTTTTTTTGTTTTTGTTTTTTGTACAAAATATCCCCAAATCAACACAAAATACACACACACATACACACACACGACACCACACACGCACCACACACACACACACACACATACACAGTAATATTTTCTGTGACAATTAAAAAAAAATCCTAGTGCAAATATAAAGCTCTGTAAACCTGGTCCTATGAGAATCTAATGTTAGTAAACAGCAGGAAAGCAGCCGTCGGCCCGAGAGAGCTCACATCATGGTCTCCACGATGATGTGGGTGGGCTTCATGAGGGTGCCGTTCATGGCCGAGTGGGAGCTGTAGAGTGCGGCCCCGTCTCGATCCACAGCCCAGCGGTTGGGCTCCCTCGGGGTCAGCAGGTACTTGAGTCTCTGGAGAAGGAAGGGGACAGGCATGGGCGGGAAGTCAGGCATCTGGTTCCCTGTCCCACGGCCCTCTACCCCATCTGGGTCCCGCCAGCGTGCCGTTCGGCCTTTCGCTAACTGCTCTCCTCTCTGCACCTCCTGTTTCATCCACCGGCAAACAAAGACGGGAACTAAGGTTCCTTGAGGTCCCTTCATCCTCCCAGCTGGCTGCCCACTCGTGAAATCTGTGAGGCAAAGAGCCCTCCCCCAAGGACCCCGAGAGAACCAATGGCAGAACTGGGACCCGGACGCAGGGCTCCTGCCTCCCAGCCGCCCTCCCCACTCCGTCAAGTGTCCACTCAGAAATGTAAGTAGAGAGCAGTTGTGAACAAGAAGTTGTCTATATAGGCATTCAGTTTATGATGTTCCAGAGCTGCTTACTAAAAGCTACGGTGTTTCATTTGAAAACCCAGATTTCCACCTTCTCTTTTAAAAATGGCAAGATCTGGCAACTGCAGGCCCCAGGTCCCCTCTCAGTAACCACTGGCCGAGCTGAGCGCACCGCTGCCGGCTGTAGCTTTCTATCACCTTCTCCAGGTCACTCCTGGGCCCGCCCCAGTGGCTTCCCGCACCTGGGTTGCCTGCCGGGTCCCTGAAGGACCGGCTGGAGGCCACAGGTAAAGGGCGAAGGGGGGGATGCCAGCAGGAAGGGCATCCTGCTCCCCTTCCATCGCTCCCCTCTCTGCACATCTGGTACAGTGGGGTGTGCACGCGGCAGGAGGGACAGGAGACAAAGGCCCCAGACAGCCACTCGAGCTGTTTACATGGGGGCTGAGATGCCACTGGACTCCTCCCAGGACAGAGCTGGGTCTGTAGAACCTGGCTCTGGGAGACAGTCATGGCGGGCAGATACCTGGGCAACCGGTGCCCGTGGGAGCCCCAGGGACACATAGCAAAGGCAGATGGCTGGTGGTTCAACTGCCTTCAGAGGAGGGGGTTAGGTGTGTAGGGAAGGAAGGGGTGCAAGTGTGGGGTGGAGTGGATTCCTCACCCACCCCTTCCTCCTCCTCCACACCAGCCCCACTCTGACCAAACCATTACACTGGGGCTGGAATGATGTTTAAAATTAGACTCTGAAGCCCTGCCTGGTGGGGCTCAGTTGGTTGGAATGTCCTCTGTACCCCACAAGGTGGGGGGTTCCATGCCCAGTCAGGGCACATACCCAGGTGGTGGGTTCGATCCCCAGTCAGGGCCTGTGCAGAAGGCAACCAATCAATGTTTCTTTCTCTCTCTAAAAAAAATTTAATAAAAAAATAAATAAAATTAGACTTTGAAGGGACACAAATTAGTGACCTGTTGGGTGTCCTTGTGTCCCACCCCCCATGGTTGAACTATGTAATTGCTCTGGGTACTGACCAATCAGAACAGACATCCAAGCCCCTCTGCTATGCTTCCAAGTAACCCTTCAGTTTCAGGATGGTAGGGCCATTCTGGGAATTCCCGGGGAGGGGCGGGGTTGATGTCGTGTATGTGTATATACCCGGAGGGCTGGGGCAGTAGCTATTGCCTGTATGTCCCCGGGCTCAGTATTTCAATACTTTCACAAATAAAAGGGCCAGTCTGGCTGAATACTGGGGTCTTCCCCTGTGTCCTCTGAGGAAATACAAGGAGCCGAAGCTGCAGGAACACCCCAGGCCGAGCGCCATGCTTTCCTCCCTGGCACGGCCCTGCTTACTTCCTCTGCCTGGGGAAGGCTGGTCGCTTTCTGCCAGGCCTCTCTCCCCCCAACACCTCCAGGCCATTCGCCTGCCCATAAGGAAACCCACCCAGTCCAAGGGGAGCCAGGGCCCCAGGACATCCTGGCTCCAGATTTTTAAGAGAATAACAATAAAAACAGCCCAGAACAAAACAGTGCAATCTTGGAGCCCACCCAAGCCCAAAGGTTAAGGGAGATTCTAAGAAAAGGATTTCTTGGAAAGTGCCCTGGAATCTACAGTATTGTCTGAGGAATTTCTGGGAGGAGGTGGGAGGCCGGG